ATAAGGTTGGGTTGGGATGATATACAGAAAAACATACATCCTATCTTCAAAAAGTTCATAGAATAGAAATAAGAGAAAGACATGCATAATTATTTCTAATGCACAATAGCTTATGAGAGAACTCAATGAAGCTCCAGATAAATAAAGATCCAGATAGAACGTTAAGGGAATGTAAAGAAAAAAGTGAATAATTCTAACTGTAAGAATAAGGAAAAGTGAGGCCAAGTGAAGAAAAGACTGAAAAGGGACTACTGCAAATTTCAGGTGACCTGCTAAGAACAGTTTCGGTTTTGGCAAATCTAGTTTGATTGCTATTTGAATTATTTTCATGATTTCCAGGAATAAAATGAATTACATTTTTTAAACTTATGGATACAGCATAAATATCAACAAGAGTAGGACTCTTATCTTTGAAATAAAGTGACTTCATTATAGAACTGAACTGTCTTACTTTTCTTAGCCACAAAAGACATTAACGAACCTGTGCATACTTAAAAGTGCTCCACAGAAAAGTGAATTTCATGAAGATTGTGTTAAAGGCACTGACTGTAACCTTACTTCATTTGCAAATGATAAATAGACTCTGCAGTATCTATGGTTTCTCTCCATAAGCAAGCTCTGGTAGGAGAATGTGTAATCAAATTGCTCCATTGCTTAGCAACCGCAGGTAAAGAGCCAGTATGTCAGGAGTCATGATTCTATGAGAACAATCTACAGGTCAGTGGCATGATTTCAATGCCTGTTAAAATCCTGCTGTCATGCTTTCAAAAGCAATATTAAGGCAAAGCGTAAGAAGAGATGAGAGTTAAGATGCAAATGCTCTCCTAATCGATCAATTGACACAGACATAGCATAAGCTGGCACAATCTTCAGCATCAGCCTGACAGTAGCATCTATAAATCAACATCAGGGTAAAAATAACCCATAGATATGGCTTTATAAGGAATACCTGTGTTATTAAATTAGTTAAACCAAACATGAAGTCACATTTAAATTAATGTGAAGGTAATGACCTCAACATTCACCTAACCAAGGAAGAGAAGCAGTGGATGGTGAAATAGTTCTGGAAAATTTTACCTGTAACCATTGCGACTGGTCATTGTGGCCAGAGGTCCAGGCATTCACTTTGCCTTGCTTGTCCAGCCGAGCTTTCCTTGGTTCCCAAGTGAACATGTCCATGTTGAGCGTTCTGAAGATGCTGGAGGCAGTGATCTGATAATCTTGTATATGTCCTGATTTCATACCCAGAGGCTCAGAACAGCCTGAAAGAAAATGAGAAGGGCCCCATAAGAAAAATAATTTATTACTGTGGAACTTTTCTGCGTTCATTTTCAATAGGTAAGAGAAGATTAAACATAATGCTATTGATTCCCCCAAAGAGAGAACATCTAAATTGAAAAAAAAGGCTATAATCAGAAATAAATCTGAAACAAAATCGAAAAACAAGATAGTCAATTCAGGCTATTTTGTCTGAATATATTTTGGAAAAATTGAAAACAAGACAGACAATTGAAACTACTTTTCTGTGATAGATGATTTTGCAAAATGAAAACAATGCTGAAATTCTCTCTCCTGTCTCATTACTGGAAGCCTCATGACTGTTCCATAGTTTTCAAGAGTTTCATTGTGTCTTTAAAAATGGGATATTTTCTCACAAAGTGTATTTGTTTTTCTTTTATTTGTTTTCATAATACCACAAATGAAAATTCCCTCAATACAGTGTCATTTTCACAAGCTGTTCCACTATTATATTCTAAACTGGACAGTAGTTTGTTTTTCAAGAAATATGTTAATCTTTAACACTGATTCTTACAGCACCCACATAGCTTCTTCTGGAAGGCAGGAAGCTAATATTTACTCGGTGTAGACCATGTGCCAGGCATTGCACAAGTGTGGAATTTAAACTAATAAATAGAAGAAAGTAAGCAAATTCTGGCAAAGACCATTACTGGATAAACCATTTAATAAATTCTTATATTTCAGTCACACTCAATAACCTATAAAATTTAGATATTTCAAGAAGATTCTCAAATTTACTACATATATTTTCAAGTTTAATAAGGTAAAAAATTTGTTTTTCCCTATCTTTGAAAAATAGTGCATGCGCGCGCACACGCGTGTGTGTGTCTGTATACACATACATACAATATCCCAATCGTGAATTGCAACTGTGACAAAATTTCATTTACAAAGTCTGTGATAGGAAGCATGATTCTATCATTGTATGAGCCAGTGGCTGAGTCTTCTGTTTCATTTAGGCCAAGAAACTCACAAGGTCAGTTTGATCATCAAGGAAGCAAAGATAAAAAGAGGAAATTTTAACCCAGTACCTTCTCCCCATGCTTTACTGGTCTCCCACTTCCCAGCTATGTGGTCTTGCACCTGTTATTTAACCACTTTGTGCCTCTTTACTTTACTGGATTAAACTTAAGCCCATTATCCAAAGTGAGGCACCACAAGATCGGAAGAATGGGCTCCACTTGTACTCACCATCAAATTGGTACTAACTGATCAACACTAGGGTTCTCACATGGCAGTAATATTCTCCAGGGATTAGGGGGATGGGAGGGGGGTAAACCTGCAACTAAAGGACATGGGGAGCATTGTAGGGGGGAAGGGCATGCCTCTAACCCTCACTTGGGTGAGGCAAAGACATAAAGTGTAACCATAATGTTTGTACCCTCATATGTTTGTACCCTGAAATAAAAAAAAAAA